AAACGAAATCGAGGTCACCCTCCCTGCAACCTAGTCTTGAGGAATTCACGATAGAGCCTTCCCCTGAGCCGGAGCCACAGTTGGAACCCGAGTCTGTGCATGAGCCTTCCCCAGAGCCTACGCCTACGCCCGAGCCAGAGCCTATGCCAGAGCTGGAGCATATGCCGGAGCCCACACCGGAGCCGGAGGTCATCAGAGAAAAGTCTCCTGCAGCACAATTTACCGCGCCCACCAAGACCCTCATTCCTGATACATATGCGCGGAGTCCATCACGAGAACTATCAGTCGATGGCAACCAACAAAATATCACTCAGAGAGGCCAGTCCTGGTCCTGGGTAGGAAGCCTATCAGCACAGTTGCCCAGCGTATCTACGGTCGGTCGCATACTCGCTGGAATAGCCTTGGCAGCGGCAACAGTTTACCTGGTTGCCTTTGGCGGACTTCCCTCCCTTTCTCGACCCACACAATATATCCCGATGGATGAGAGCAACTTGCTAGCGGTCAGCAGCCTTACAGATCAGATGTCTCGAATTGGAGCGCAGGTATCTTCATTGGCGAAGGATATGCGCACCGTCAAATGGGACGTGAACGCGGTGCAGTCGGAGGTCCGATCGTCACCTACCCCAATCATGCCACCAAGCAGAGGCACCGATTTTGGTCCTCCCACAGAACAAAAGACAAACTTCCTGAGCATTGGACTAGGAGTGCTTGTTATTCCGGGTCTCACAAGCCCAACTGTCGGACACAAGCTCAATCCTTTACAATGGGCCTATGTCAAACTATGGAGAGGTACTTATTATCGTCCCGCATCACCGCCGCTCGCGGCTTTGGCTCCCTGGGAAGATTATGGAGATTGCTGGTGCAGCACACCTCGGGACGGCATGTCGCAGATCGGCATTGACCTAGGCCAAAAGATCGTGCCAGAGGAAGTGGCCGTCGAGCATATGCCGAAGACGGCTACATTAAAGCCTGAAAATGCCCCCCGGGAGATGGAGCTCTGGGCTCAATACGTACTCGTCCAGAAGGGAGCCAGTCGACATGCAAGGACGCATGCGTCAATCCACAGGCCGATCATGAACGCCCTCCGATCAGCATGGCCCACTGAGGATCCCACTGCGTACTCCGATGATCCACTCCTAGGACCGTCATATTACCGAGTCGGGAAATTCACCTACGATATCCACGGCTCGCATCACGTGCAACTATTCCAACTAGACGCGGTGATTGACTCCCCAGAACTTCGGGTAGACAGGGTCGTCTTCCGGGCCACGTCGAACTGGGGCGGCAATCACACGTGCATCTACCGACTGAAGCTATTCGGTCATGTATAGCATGTTTCTATTTCCCCTCTTGCGTTGTTGATATCATCGGCGGCGGCGTATCGCGTTTCAAAATGACTTGTTTATCTTTTATTTCGGGCGGCGTTGATAGGAATGGGAAGATACCAGGCAATGGCAATCGTGATAGACGGTCTGTTTTGTTTATTTTATTCGTGGAGCAGACGTTTTGGACGACTCGTTACTTTGCTTGGTACTTGCATGCAATCGCTCGTATTTAGCGATTATTGAATGCATACCTCTGCGCATGCTGAATGACTTTCTTTAGTACTGAACTTTAAGGTGAAAGGTGCATTCCGCATACTATCTACGCTGGGTGATAATATTCCTTGGAAGGTTATGGACATTGAAGCCCGGGCCTCTACGTGCCAAACCTTCGATCCATAGCGTAACTTCCTACTCAACAGCACCATGAAAAGAAAATACTACCACCAGATCATAGACTCCCTTGATTAGGTTTAATAGCTAGCATAAATTAATCAAACTTAAGAATCAAACTCCGGATTCACCCACCCGGGCACGCCCCTCGCTCTCCACGCCGCCCCAAACACATGCAGCGAGATGAACACAGCACTTCCGCCAGCCACAACGATGAGAGCCTGAGTGGTGAATGTCCAGGTCCAGCCGATTGCGGCTTGCCATTGGGCGATGAAGAACTGTTCATTCATTTATCAATAAATTTACTCTTGGTGGTTGGGGTGATGGTAAGGGCGAAAAAAAACGTACTGGATTAGCAAATGCACTGAGATTTAGAAATACAGCGTAGAAAATCACCACGCTGGTGGATTGGAGTGGGTAGGCGTCGATGATGTAGCTGCTTGTTACGGTGTTGCCGATTTGGATTCCGGCGGAGACTGTTCATCATTCAGTATTGGATTAGAAAGCGGCTAGGAGATAGATGGTTGTAGGTGGGAGGGAGGAGGGAGAAGGGAGGAGGGTGGTTGTACTTACACAAGAAGAACGCGACTTGTCCTACCATCCAGTGGTAGGCTTTGTCTATGCTGATGCCCCAGAGGATTAAACCGACTGTCAATTGGGTGGATATGTTAGACTTGTACATGGAGTAGTAGTGTATGGGGCTATGGAAAGGGGAAGTACTCACCAGCAGTTAAGGCAATGGCTGGATATGCCAGCCATAGGCGCATCTCTGGGACCCGAATCCCGCCATTTCTCTTCGCTAATCTCCCCACGATGGCATCGCTCAATCGTCCCGAGCAGCTTACCTCCGCTACCAAGGTCCCGATCAATAGGCCCAGGAATAGTAAGCCCTGGATGAGAGGCGAATCTGATGCATATGCAGACGGGACCATGGTAATCACGGATAGAATCCACCAGTACCAGGTGAATGAGTATCCGAGAACCGCCACGGGGATGACTGGGAAGCGGAACGTCAGGAGGAATCGGGTGAAAGAGGCATAGATGGGTGGATGAGAGAGACCTGGGACGGGACGAAGGTTGAGGAACGGCAGTGACTTGGTGCGTTTTATCTCTGCTTCTTCTATACCTGCATTCGGCTCTGCTGGCTTCTCGGTGGCTGCCATGCGTTGGAGCATCAACGCGCGTGGGTAGAGGGTTTCAGGCATGAGGGTAAGCTCGAGGAGTAGAAGCGCGGCGAAGAGAATAGCGTTGAACCAGTTGATCCATTGGGCGCTGACGAGATCGAGAATCCCGCCGACTTGGTTTATGTCAATAAAATGAGACCGAGATGTTGAGGTGAAGATGGAAACACGTACAGGTTGGACCTAGAAGTAAACCTGAATCTAGAGCAAGTACCCATAATCCGAGTTTCTGGCCGCGTTCGTAGTCGTAGAAGAGATCGGTGACTACATTGTTAGCTGCTCTGTTCACTTCAATTCCTGTTGAAGAGAGGTAGCATACCAACTGCCATTCCCACTGTTGATGAAGGGCTGACTCCGAATCCTTGAAAGAACCGAGCAGCCATGTACCCCCCATATGTGTCTGCCACAGCAGCGCCAACTGTCGCAACGAGTGCGATGACAGTCCCCACAATGAAGACGATGCGACGGCCGTAGATGTCGCCAATGGAGGACCAGAATAGTGGTCCAAGCGACAAGCCCAGCGCCGGGATTGCGACAGTCCAGTTGACTTGCGAGTAGCTGATATCATACTGTGATTGAATTTCGGCGAAGGAGGGGACAGTAGTAGTCGTGATGTAGGTGAAAAGGAAGTACCTGTTCAAGGTTAGTGTCTGAAGTTCTCTAGACTGGAGCAAATACGCACATGAGCATGACAATACCCAGAATCACATGCTTTTGCCAACGGGGCCAGTTGAGCGGATCCAAAGGATCAGAAGTAGGGGTAGGATGGACGTGCGTGCCATGTTGCTCAACGGGGAGGCTGTTGATGTCGCTGGCAGATTGCTTCTCGGAGATTTGGACAAGGTCTGCCTGGGTAGATTTAAGATTCATTGTGTGTAGCTATGATCGATCATGGGTAATATTGGTGTAGCCCTGAGGCAATGAAGCCAATGCATGGCATTTTTGACTAAGGTGCATATATAGTCCAAGATGAGAGGGGGGGTTGACAGGTGAAACCGAGCAACGCCATTGCTGTACGGAACGATGCTTATCAGTAACAGCCTCAGGCGAACATCGAATCACCAGCCTGAAGGATATCTCTCCTGCTTATCATCACCGGGATGTACTGGGATGGAAGAGCGGATCGAATCAAACCCTGGTCTTAATGGCTGCATTATAGCCTTCCCGGCCTGGATCTGGCTAAATTGGAAGCGACTCACATTAACCGATTGCGGTAACGAAGTATGTGCTGCCTTGCTATTCTGTTTACAAGATGTTTATACATTCTCCTGGAACGTTTGATAATGTGTGCTATCTAGTGCCCTAAGTTGGCAATTTTGAGATTATTTCGGTGCCCTAATTATTCTTGCTGTCAATCATAGTCATAACAAATTTTGGGGAGATTCTCCTTGAAAATCCGAACGATCCAGACGATTGAAGTCGTAGATCTCACTATATCCCGTCGTCTTTCCTATTTCCTTCATCATATTTTGATCATTGGGGTGCCCCCTCTATACAATAAGCTGCGCCAGCCAGACCTCATCATTGGAACTATACTTGGCGGGGTACAAGTAGATCCGATTACAAGACAGTATCGTGTGTGGCGCGCACTTGATAGCCTCTTGTAAGCAATCAAGATAAGAAACTCCTATTGCGTAAAGAATATACATCTCGATCTGTAAATTTGGGCATCGAAAGGACAGACAGTTTTCAGACTGACATCATTTTGTCAGTCTCAACAACTCGGTTCGATATCGGATCGTACAGTAGAAGCAGACATCCAATGTTGGATATCCCCACGCTCGTCCCAAAAAGGTGAATATCGTGAGAAGGAGGCAGCCCCGCCTCTGAATCAGTCTGCGCTGACATGCAGCTCGACTAATGTCTCCTGGTGGGTCAGTGATCCTGATCTGGATAAGCTCGTGGTGGATCATGTCGGTGGTCTGCGCGGTTGCCAGTTGAGTAACAGACCGCTTCTATCGATCGAGGCAAGGGGCTATACTATGCTGTACAATGTGTTCAGCCACGCTGTTAAACAAGCTCCAGCGTTTTTATTGTCATTGTAACCCATGTTGGTCTCTCGGGTTGACACCAATTCCTTTTTCTTCCTTCTCCAAAGCTTGAGCCCAGTGTGTCTGTCTACTATTATTGCAAGATGTACGACTCCCTTCCTAGCTACCGAGGGACTACTTCCGCGCACTCTCACGGGGAAGAACATACGCCACTACTTCGCAAGCAAGTCGACACCAGCCATGACTCCAAGATTTCAAAGTTATCGATTCCCTGTCCAGTCGAATTTGTACGGCTGTTGAAAGACTCCATCCCGGTCATTCTGGCATACACGCTGCAAAACAGCCTGCAAACCACCTCTGTGTTGATTGTGGGACGGATCTCTCCTGAGGATCTCGCCACCACAGCTTTTTCACTCATGTTTGCCATGGTCACAGCCTGGATGATCGCCTTGGGCGGGACCACCGCACTAGACACACTAGCCTCATCAACCTTCACAGGCAGCTCGAACAAGCATGATCTCGGGATCCTGTTGCAGCGGGCCTTTTTCGTCCTCGGGCTGTTCTATGTCCCCGTCGCCATGCTTTGGGCATTTTCGGAGCCTGTGTTTCTCTTGCTTGGCCAGGATCCCCAGCTCTCTAGAGATAGTGCGCGTTTCTTAACTTGCCTGATCCCTGGCGGTCTGGGATATATTTACTTTGAGGCCATGAAAAAGTATTTGCAAGCCCAGGGTAAATCGTTCCCCGACGTGCTGCTTTCCCAGGAATCCCTGCTAATCAGAAGATGCAGGTATTATGCGACCTGGAACGTATGTCTTGCTGGTAACGGTACCATTCAATGCATTTCTCAATTACCTGTTCTGCTACACCTTTCATATGGGGTTGCTCGGTGCGCCATTTGCAACAGGCATTTCCTACTGGCTGTCCTTTGTGCTGCTAGTATTGTATGCCCGGTTCATCGCCGGTTCCGAATGCTGGGGCGGCTGGTCGCGCAAAGCATTCGAGAACCTCGGAACTTTTGCCCGATTGGCCTTTCTGGGCGTGGTGCACGTAGGCACCGAGTGGTGGGCCTTCGAAATCGTAGCTCTTGCAGCCGGAAGGCTGGGAACAATCCCGCTGGCGGCACAGAGCGTCATCATGACCGCAGACCAAGTGCTCAACACAATTCCATTTGGTGTAGGTGTCGCTACGTCTGCACGAGTGGGGAGCCTGCTAGGGTCCCGGGACGCAGCTGGTGCAGCGAGAGCAGCCAATACCGCGGCCTGGTTGAGTATGGTGCTGGGGGGTGCCGTGTTGGCCGTGCTTATGGGGACTCGGTACGACTTCGCAAAGATGTTCAACTCCGATGAAGGAGTTGTACAGCTCACTGCGGAGGTTCTACCGTGGGTGGCGTTGTTCCAAATCGCCGATGGACTGAACGGTAGCTGTGGAGGATGCCTTAGGGGCATGGGAAGACAGCATGTCGGTGCGCTAGTCAACCTGGTCAGCTATTATTGCGGTGCATTGCCTCTCGGTATTTGGTTGGCTTTCCATGGCTGGGGATTGAAAGGACTTTGGGTGGGACAATGCATCGCACTGTATCTTGTGGGGGCACTGGAGTGGGCAATCGTGGCCTTCAGTAACTGGGAATGCGAGGTCGATAAGGCGTTTCAACGAATGGATATCGAAGACCGGTTAGAGGTTGGACACACCACCAATGGTGCCACGACAGTCGTCTAGTGCAGATAGGTGTAGGTTAGATCAAATATGAAGCCTTCCAAAGCCCACGCAGGGTCTCTATCTAATATCTCTAAGAGGAAGGTGGACAGAGTTTGCTTGTTTAACCTTAAGAGTTGTCAGCCCTTTGTTCAATTATCAAGCGAGAACGATGTCGGACGCTTATCGTGTTAGGTTTATTGTCTGTCGATTCAGTGTTTCGAAGTCGGCCGTCCCCACGTCTCAGAACGAAGATCAGCGTTGCTGATAAGAAATGCCGGCCGCTATCTCCGTGGAACATCAGCACGATAAGCCTTGGTAGGGTAGATTAGACTAATGCATGAGACTAGTCTCTGAATTCTGTGGAATCTTGCTGTCTTGAAGCATCCACTGTATTCTCCTCCGGCCTTCCTGTTTCGATCGCTCATGCGTTTCGAATTTATACTACTAGCCAAGCATTTGACGTTGGCCCATGGAATAGATCTCGCCTTCGCATAGTATCCACAGCTGCGACCTCCCAAGAGATAATGCCCATCTGGTGACGTCCTCCCCACCCCAATCTCCCAGGTTCTCAAGTTATTCCCCAATTCTGGCAAGTCGTGGGAGAAGGAAGCAATAGAGTGTGAGGTTCCATACTGTGAGTGGACCTAGTCAGATATTCATTTTCCGAGTGAAACATCGGATAGTAACATCATCAACAGCGACCATGCCGTTGGTTTTGTCATTCTATCCACCTACACTGCGCGTTAGCATGCATACTGTAAATCTCGGTGTAATTAAGGATCGTTGAAAGTAAAAGGACATGCGGGGACTGGAAGGAGAGATGGTTGGGGAAGCCAAGTACCTGAGCCGCAGATGGGAGCATATAATCATCCCCTCCCTGCAGAGCCTGCATGGAACATTATCGTTTTCAATTGAATTGATTTTGTGCCTTTTTCCACAAAATTTTCCCAACATGTATCTTTCAGTTGTGGGCTTACTTGCTCTCTTAGGCATCGCAACTGCCCATGGCGGCCATGACCAAACTCCTCTGGCTGGACCGCACCAGAGGTTGTGGTACAATACACTCCCTGGAGATGGTGGCACACAAGTCAGTCAATCTAGCTCAAGTTTCTACTTATCCATTGGCTGACAATTCAGGCCGACTCTGTCTTCTCTGGCATCTCTACTTTCGGCCGGTTGCCGTACTTTCCTTGTCTCTCCAGCGAAGCCGAGAGGTATGATATTGCATTCATAGGTAGGTCACCATCTCGACAGTACGACATGCCAGTAACAATTCCTGACAATTGAGTAGGTGCTCCTTTCGACACCGGTACCTCATACAGACCCGGAGCTAGGTTCGGACCTAGTGGTATCCGGCAAGGATCTCGCCGTCTTAATCTTTAGTATGCTATACCCGGTCCTGACTATACTGACGGCGCTAATGCTCATCAATGCTTCTCTTTAGTGGCGGATACAACGTACCTCTGCAAGCGAACCCTTTTGTCAGCGACATGAGAATCCTGGATTGCGGAGACATCCCTGTTACGTCGTATGGCACCCACTCCACGAGGGAATTGGCAAGATTCTGATGCAAACAGTTATGATAACGCCTGGGCTATCCAGCAAATTGAAGAGGGCCACAACAGTGTCCTGATGCGCAAACCCTTCACCGATGCTGAGAAGTATGGGCTCTCCAAGGCCGGAAAGACCCTTCCACGCATCATTACCTTAGGAGGAGACCACACTATTACCCTGCCCTTGCTGCGCAGTATAAACAGGGCCTATGGACCTGTCACTGTTATACACTTTGACAGTCATCTGTATGTTTGTCTTCTGTAGTCGGAAGAGCCAATGCTCACTGTCTCCAGGGATTCTTGGAAGCCAAAGGTTTTCGGTGGTTCACCTAGTCAGGTTGCCGCAATTAACCACGGAACCTACTTCTACCACGCCGCGATGGAAGGCCTGCTGAAGAACGATACCAACATTCATGCCGGTATTCGTACTACACTTTCTGGTCCATCTGATTATGAGAACGACGGATACTGCGGGTTCGAAATCGTTGAGGCCAGAGAGATTGATACTATTGGTACGTCTGCACAAAGATCTTCTGTTCACTATGCTAACACTGCGTCACAGGAACGGATGGTATCATCAAGAAAATAAGAGAGAGAGTGGGTACTGAGAATCCTGTTTACCTTTCCATTGATATCGATACCCTTGATCCTGCTTGTAGGTCATCTCCAGCATTTCATTCCCGTGGCTTTTTTGACATTTCTCTAGACGCACCGGCAACCGGAACGCCCGAAACGGGCGGCTGGTCGACGCGTGAGCTCCGCACTATCATTCGGGGATTGGATGGATTGAACTTCATCGGTGCAGACATTGTTGAGGTTGCTCCTGCTTATGATACCAATGCTGAGCTTTCTACTATGTATGGCAACCTTGCACGACGCTAATCATGACATGACTTATTAACTGATGCATGTGATAACAGGGCTGCCGCTGACGTCCTCTATGAGGTTCTTACCATCATGGTGAAGAAGGGTCCATTGTCTGTTGGTCGTTCCGATGAGCTGTAGTCGACGGACGCTGCTTTGGAAGATTGCCTGATCGCTCCCGCAGTTATTCCATCCGTGATACCAGGATTGGGCGCTTGATAGTATTGCTTTGCAGTTTTTTTTGGTGGAGTGGAGGATGATATCAGAGGAAGTACATGTCCAGATGTAGTATTCGAGTGAAATTACAATAAATGTTCAGACATGTTATATCTCCTGGAGGCCTGCATAGTAATATTTTCACGGGTATTCATCCACGAAATAAATGATCAGTAAGTACCGTAATGCAAAACAAGATAGGGGTATCAAGCCAGTAGGCCAAACATAATCACGTGTGAAGTATTTAGGCTAGAAACGTGCTTGTGTCTAACTGACCGCGTTATCTGAAGGGTTTCAGCAACATATTCGGAAACATGGGCAGATACTAAATCGCACAAGCTATTGGACAATTCCATCACTCAAAAAAGCAAGGAGGTATTCACCTGAAGGTAATCACCGGAAAATGGATCCAAACGAATCATGAAAAGGATCAATTTGACTAGCAGCGAGGACGTGATGTAATTCATCAAGCAAGTAGAGTCCGATGGCTGATCCATCGGCTGGGCTGCTGAGGTCAATTTAATACACACAGAAGGATCTGCATATAAGAGCCATTGGTTCGGCCACCTCTACAGAATCTTAGCACGTCCGGTGGCCAGGAATATCATTAACAATCGGGGAAACAACACTCAGGCACTACTACGAAACAGACGAGAATCCTTTCCACATGTAGCAGACGTCTCCTGCATCGAAGTCACGCTTATAGAAACAATGTTCGGCGCTAATTACACTGACGTATGTGAGACAAGAATACTTCCAGATTTGATATCATGACAGAAGCGAGGGGAAAGCTTAAGGGCGCCGCCTGCTTGAATAGGCAATAAACATCAGCCCTGTGCAGTTAGGATCCACGGTTCTTCAAACTCCAGAATGTCTAGGTGTCCATCCTTAAAATTGCTGACATCTACCGGATTAAGCACACCTCGATCTGTCATTCCTTGATTACTATCTTTACAGTTTTATAGACTACACCTTCCGCTCTTTACATCACAGTGTCGCTTATGGAGATCCCTTGCCTGAGTCCTGCGGTTGCAGACGATATTGTCCCAGATCTAGCCCAGATATTCAATGACAACCCGTTCAAGTCATTGAGAGAACAGAAAATCAGCGTCCCTGTTCTCTGCGGTCCGCATGAGCAAGGTCCCACCGACACCCACATCAACATCTTTGGGCAGGAGTTCCGAACGCATTCCAGTTTGATCAAAGAGCACACTGGAATTTGGAAGGAACGGCAGCGCGGTGAGTATGCTGAGCGCCGCGGACACTACTTCGAGGCGAGGACTGAGAAAGATGGTGGTTGGGGGATCTATCGGAAAGGAGCGGTATGCAGAGTCGCACTGTAGATTGGGTCCAATATTCGCTGACAAGGTGGCATAACTTCGCAGAAATACTACCGTGATTATCCCAAAATGCCAGATGAACGCATCCCGAGCGCCATTGAGTCTTTCCATTGCTTCCTGCAAGCTCTGTATCTCAAGCCTGTACCATACGTTGGCATCAAAGGATGGCGGAGGATGGTGTTGCTGGGAATACGCTTCCAGGCAGTGCCTCGAGTACGAGAATATATCGAAAAAATTATACTTCCCTGGACGCTTACGTCTAAGCCCCTGCTTGGTCTCACGGAGGATATCCTCGCCTATACTAAGATGGCACAAGATATCCAGTGTGCCCAGCTCTACCGCGAATGCCTCATCCATCTTGTTGGAATGGCGCAATACTGGGGACGGAACGAGTTTCATAACGCTGAAATTATACTCACTCCCAGTGCATACGCTTCATTAATTCGTCACGTCGGAACACAACGGCAACTTATCGAGAAAGCGGATGTCGCTCTCCACACGTTCATTCGGACTTTGGTAACGCAGAAGCCCCGACGGATACCGAATTTCCTGCTCCGGCAGTTTACAGACACGGTGGATAACATTACCGGTCTAAATGGACGCAACATGAACTCGCTGGGTTATTATCAGCATATACGTATGGTACTCAACGATATGCAGCTGAGATTACCGCGTGGCTCTACGTACAACATGTGTCATAGACTATGGCAGTTCATTGGATGTCTGTGTGTAAATGGTCTTCTGTATACGCAAGATCAAGTCAAAGGCTACCCTGTCTGCATATCGCCTACGGATATCGAGCTACCATGGGTGCTTGCCAACGCACCCGAGGCCCAAGCGGAAGAGGAGCAAGTTCCAGACGCCATAATGGAAGTAGAAGGCTAGCCAGACAACACGAATATCGCTGGAGGCGGTCATTAAGAAACAGAAATGAGAATGTCATAGCGCAAACCTCGTATCAAGGTTATTGGATAGTGCAATTTCTAGTAGCAAAATGCCAAAGCGTACTTACAGTGTCTTATCTGAGTATCCACCGTGTTGTCATCCACCGTTCGATCTCGATCTCGATCTAGCGGTCCCCTTGCATAAGGCAACGCCACTTATGAAACGATGAGACTGATCTAGATAAGATGCGATCAGTCCCATCGTTTCACAAGAAATCATCCGCCAGGGATGGATTATTGCCTAGGCTCCTAGTTAGTGACTACTAATTAGTCAGTCGCCTTCCTGGAACTAACTACTATGGCGCGTTGCATCACCCATCGCTCATCACTCATATATTCTCCGATAGATCTATCTATCCACTTCAACGGTCCTTCATCACTTCATCCCTCCGATACCTATGGCCTATGCACGTAAGCACGAACTTAATGGCCCCTCGAAATAGATCTATCTCCTCACTACCGAGTATACTACTCGATACATCCTATCTATCTTCCATCCATCCATCCATCAGAAATACGTCCTATCATCTGCCCGAGCGTTACCAAACATAAACTCAACGCACCACCCCCCCCCCTTACTTGCATAAACCTTATTATTCCTCAAGTAGGCAGCAAGGTACACACCCACACACACCCTCTTATGCAGATGCAGCCTTGCTTTACTTCCTTTCACCCGTTAACAGAAAAAAAAAACGCAGGTACAATATACGGAAATGCAGTAGTTCATAAAGAAAGCTACTCACACTACTTACTATTGTCATTATGAGTTAGGATATGATATTACTAATAACGAACACTCGATACGAGGCCTGCCACACTGAATGCGACGTGACCAATGTTGATCAGTAGGACTTGAGTTTTCCTTAGGACTTAGGTCCTAAGTTATCTAGCTGTGTACTGTCAAGATACTTAAGTAAAGTAGGATTGGAATTAGTTGAGGATGAGCAGGAATCCACTAAGTGTGGATGTGGGTGGTTGGGGTGTGTGTGTGTGTGTGTGTGACAAGTTCACAAAATCGTGCATGGTGATTTATGCAGGTTTCGATTTTTGAGTTTGGGAGTTTAATATGGATAGGCAGGTGAGTAGTTATAGTTAATATTTATATGCTGTGGTTTTTGTTATGGTTGGATATCAACTGATTTTTCCCTTTAATTCACCCTTTCCTTTTCCATCATGTCTCCCTGTATGAATATCATCTAATAGTGGATAGTGGATAAGAGTATTGGAATGGTGCTGTGGATTGAACAATACAAAAAGCAATGGAATGCTTTGGGTCGGTGGAGAGTGAAGAGTGTGGTAGTCCGACGATCGTTACTTTGCTGGAGATATAACCGGGGTGCGTGCCGATTTTCGGGTGAGGATCGGCCGTTGGAAATTTCAGGGGGGAGGCCAATTAGAAGGTAGTAGGTGTTATTGGGTTGGGAGTGCTGTTTGGGTTATTATTTGGCTGGTTATTGAGTTATTACTTTATTTTGATATGAGGTTATGTGGAATAATGTTGGGATGTATATACTCAATGAGATGGTTGTGTGGGGATACCGGTCGATATGGATACCGGTTTTATATATACCGAAGGAACAGTTGCCCGTGCTCATGGGCTCAGTCTAGCATAGTATAAGTGATCCATAGGGAAAGAGTTATGAGAATATAGCCCTCTTCCCATTGGGACCAGTAATTCAAGGAATAACGAGCCTAAGGCTGGTCCTTATCCAGATATTTCGGAGAGCGTACGAGCCACCAGAATGATGCAGTATCTACCTCAGGGAACAACTTTCGGTCGGATATCCCTTTCCCCTATCCCATTGGCAATAACGGAGCCGTTGAATCCTATTTTGTGGGTTATAGTGTTATTGATTGATAGATTGGTCAATCGGCTTGGCTCGAGATATAGGAGCATCCACTTCTCTGTTATGAACAGGGCGGTCGGATTATGCTGCTTTTATGCCGATGTGGGTAATGCAGTTTCACAGCGTTGTATATATCTACAACGAAGTTAGACGTTATGTGGATCCCCATATAGAAATTGGAACGATTGGAGGTATTATGGTATGAGTACTGGTTCAACTCAGTGGTACTTAGTTGAGTGCAGTAAGGATTAATCTAGTAGGACGTTGTCTATGAATATATTTTGTCGGGCTTGTGCGGATTCGCAGGCAATGAGAATAGTTTGCGATAAGTATCTAAGTCTGTCATTTTAGTCAAAGAATGCTAACTCCTGCCAACGTCTAGTGAACAGTTTGAAGAACTCGGAGAGTGGCATAATAAGTGTTGGATGCCTCCATGGATGAGAATTCCGGTTCCTGACCTGTATGCACATAGTGTATCACAAGATGAGAGTCAAGACATAGACCCAGTAAAGGCAATAAGTCATCAGTATTGATTGTTCGACAAGATTACAGCCTCTCGTGCCTGATCTGGGTTAGTACACTCATCCTGGCAGATGGTTGTACAAAGTAGCCTTAGACACCCAAACACCACTCAGCTTCATCTCAAATAGTCTCAATGCATCCCCGGCCCGGATTAGCATGAACTATACCCTACCGAGTAGTCGACAAAAGCGACCATCGCCATAGGCTAGGTAGACTGCGAAAATGGAGCTATCTCGCAGTTTGATTTCTAATGTCCCTACGGAGTATATTTATAAAACTTACTTTCTTTTTCATCTGCACATGTCGGCCAATGACCGACAGATATGAAGTATGCCAGGTGTGAGCTTAGTAGTTAGGCGGTTGGTTGATAGATCATCCAGGGAACTCCAAGGCGTCCATGATCCATGATCCATGCTCGGGGTCAGCTCCCACGTTTTGGTCGGGGATACTGAAAGTGCCTACTAATCTTGGGGAAGCGGATTAATTTCGTAGAGTGATGCTGATAGGCGGTCGGGGGAACTTACGTATTCCGACCGAGATGAAGGGTGCCAGGTACTATCATTTTATCACTCATCGAGCAATAGCCTGCTAACTAAAGACAGATGCCAATCTCTTCCTTTTCCACTGCGATCGCACGACCGTTAGTGATGGAGCATAGCCTTTAATCAATTGCCAGTGGAGGCTAACTGGCCAAGTGGCCGGCCTAGTGTCCACTCGACAGCAATTAATCCACTCTCCAAATGGGTGTGGATTGTCGCACGCGCCCTCCATGGCACCATGTCGACCCGCACACAAGCAACAGACTGTAACACCCGCGAGTCAAGCTTCTCCAATTCGAGCAAACTCACTCTAACTCAAGGGTACGCACTGGACGCCCATGTCCTTGTCCAACCGTGCAGACTTGGAGGGTTAGAATGGTCGGTCGTCATTTCGCTTGCTTTGACTAACCTTACCGGCTTGGGAGGGAGATGCGCATGCGATGCGCCGTCCCGATGCAGATGGTTCCTGAGTTTGGCGGTCACTTTGACGGTCTCCAGTAGTTTAATCACTAAATTAAAATGACTGACACTGGTGTCGGAGGTAGATGTGGAATGGGGAAGGGAGAGACATCCCCTCGTCCACCTCAAGATGTCTCTTCCCGCTTGGATGGCATGTGATGTCAAGAAGATAGTGAATTAAAGTTAAGTTTTCATCCTGGTCGCCTGGTGTGGCACTTTGCTCTTTGGGGTGTCTCTCCCTGTCGTTCCTTTTTTTTTCGGGGGTTTCTGCTTTTTCGGTTTGGCTGCCCCTGCTTTGTTTTTCCCTGCCCTGTGGATGACAATTTCGCGATCGGGCTGCATGACTATCTACTAGTTACTAGATTTGATGCTGTCGTCCAACCAATGTAAAGAAGCAACTGCTGGATGGCAAAAAGTGATGCTGGTGCTGGTGCTGGTGCCCTCAGCTGCGAAGGTCCAGCAGCTTTGCAATCTGAAACGTCTAATAGTGACAAGAATGGAACTCATTACCCCCATGTGGTTGGGAAAGGTGGCACTCCGGACTCCGTTTCGGTTCCTGAATTGCAATCCATCCGCCGCGAACCGTGGAACAATTTCTGTCGGCAATACGGGAACCGTCCGTGAGTCGTAATTCTTTTTCAGGCGAACGGATGGGGATGATGTGGAATATCAGTATGCTTTCTTTTGTAAACTAGCAAGCCACCACCGATCGCATCAAGTGTATAACCTGGATAGACCATAGAATACGATCAAGGGACCCAGAGCGACGGTAGAACAGTCATCACGTAGGGATCATGAGGTGTGTTCTGGACCCCGACAGCTGAGCTGGTGGGTGGGTTTTTGGAGAGTGGGTTTCTGCCCCTGGCGTCGTAACCGCCATACCGGAAGGCGTACGGGACTTGGTTCCTGAGAGGGTCATCCCCAATTGCATGGACGGTGCCTGACTGACTGACTGACTGACAATCTGTTGCTTTCTTCAGCTTTGGTTATGGGTGTCATGCAGTCTGGCCCTTGATTGCTGGATCGTCTGTGGGAGAGGGCCAGGAACCACGGTCTCAGCTGCGGTACTATTTTTACCTGGCTGCTTTTTATGACTTGGTTCAACTTTCAAGCAGATTGGAAAGGCAGATCTTAGGAATTAATAGAGGAAAAGAGAAAGCCAGAGTACCGACAAGGATACTGGAGGAAACAACTCCGCGTGCCATCAAATTGGACCCCTCTCCTCCTTCCCTCCCTCTCTCCCTCTGTCTAGTCTCTTCCTTATTAGCATTATTATTCACCGCAGCGCCGTTGCTGGCCGGCTCCTTTTCCACTTCGCACCGTCCACTTGTTTCCACTTCAGTTCAGCTCAACATAGTAAAGCGGCCGACTTGGGCCAACGCCCCAGCCCAGCCCCATCCCGGTTCGCTTCAACCTTGATGCCACCAATTAACTTTGCTTGCCGCTCAGGAGTTCTTCCATCTCCTCTCCTCTCTGCGACAGCTTCTCCCGCTTGGGTGTTTTTTTCTTTCTCGGATTTCTAGTCGGGGTGTATAGAGATACCTTTCTTATCTGGCTGGTACTGCCTAGACCCGGGGAACTCTTCCTGTCCATTCCCTGTCACTCCCTATCTGCCATTCTTGCCTTAAGCCCCTCTGCGGTGACCGCCAGTGGTGTGCAGCTTCGCGCGCTCTCTCTCTCTCTCTCTCTCTTCTCTTTCTCAGTCGGCCTCTCTGTCAGTGTCCGATTGTTTGCTCCCTCCCTTTGTTCGCACTGTGGTCGGGACACTCTCCTGTAATTGTCCCCTTTCCCCTTACCTTGGATTCACTTGTTCTGGTCCATCTCCCGCCTTTCCGGTCACCCTGCTAACCAGCTTTCACTGCTTCAATAGGAACCTTCCCGCTTTTTATTGTACCTGCAGGTTAGAGACCGCTTGACGTCGCAGAGTGCCGCAGGCCGCCATCTCACGCGACGGAACCGCCCACATACACCATAATCCTAATAAAAGGACACCAAGAGTGAACAATCGCACTTCTGGCGCACCGATTCGCGATTGATGACTCCCGCCTCTATTTAATGACCAATCACCACATTTCTGTCCACCATTCGCCGATCTATCTCTGCCCAACCTGTTCCTCCCACCCCCCGCCCCCTCTTCCTGGCCTGCAACCGTATAAAGGGCTATGACGGGCTCTCAGCCTGAATCGCCAGCGGATGCGCCTCAGCGTCCTTTCAGCGGCATCATGCGGACCCCCCGGAGCACCAGTCGCTTGAGTATGAGCAGTAGACATGGTGGAGGAAGTCGAGCATCGGATGAGGATGGGAAAACTGCGGTCAAAGTTGGTGCGTTATTTTATTCAATGCGTGCGCCCGTTGGGACTGAGCCGGTTCAGATGCGGTATTGCGGATACCGCTCGCCTCGGCGCCTCCAACGCCCCACGTGCGCGGCTTCATGATTATAGCTCTGCATACTGATTACCTTTCTAGCTGTTCGAGTGCGACCGCCCCTGAAGCCTACCGATCCCGGATATGAATTGGTTCCCCAGCGCTTCCAGCGTCCCATGGTCCACGTTACAAATCCCACTAGTGTTGCCATCGATGTTCCTCAGGGCCGAAAGTTGTTTGTTTTTGACCGGGTATTCGCTGAGACGGTCGACCAGGATGGTGTCTGGGACTATCTCAGCGATAGTGTCGGCTCGTTTCTACAGGGCTACAACGTTTCGATCCTGGCTTATGGCCAGTCCGGCGCGGGAAAGTCCTACACCATGGGAACTTCGGGCCCCAGTGAACAAAGTGACCCGAAATCGATGGGTTCGTTCTGCTCCCCGAGAAGCGCGCCATGTGCGGCGCATTCGGCTGACAAAAATAGGAATCATTCCCCGGGCTGCTCAGCTTCTCTTCGAAAAACTAGAGGGCCCTACCAAACCCAATCGCAACAGCGGCACAGGCCTCCGTACTCCGTCCCGCTATTCTGTCGGCTCCGCCTCCAGCTTTGGGAAGGCTAGCGTCGAGAAGAACTGGCAGCTGAAGGCCACCTACGTTGAAGTATGTGACCTCACATCGGATACTGCTCTGCGATTAGAAGATACTAACGGGTGCAGATCTACAACGAACAATTGCGAGATCTCCTTGTGCCCGAATCAACACATCAGGGCGAGCGGGGCACAGTCACCATCCGTGAGGACACAAAAGGACGTATTATACTCACCGGTCTTCATCAGGTGAACATCAATTCATACGAAGATCTGATGGGTGCTCTTAGCTTCGGTTCTTCCATCCGACAGACCGACTCTACCGCCATAAACGCCAAGTCTTCCCGATCGCACGCGGTGTTCAGTTTAAACCTTGTTCAGCGAAAGGCATCCAACGGTGTCATGTCCCCGACACCCAAGGAAAAGCGCATGTCGATGCCAGTGGAAATGATGTCTGGCTCCGATGCCTCCGTCATGGTGGATAGCAAGCTTCATTTCGTGGATTTAGCAGGAAGTGAGAGATTGAAGAACACCGGGGCCTCTGGTGAACGGGCAAAGGAGGGTATCTCGATTAACGCGGGTCTTGCTGCTTTGGGCAAGGTCATTTCGCAGCTCTCCTCTCGCCAGGCCGGCGCTCACGTCTCCTATCGTGACTCGAAGCTCACACGTCTGCTTCAGGACTCCCTGGGTGGTAACGCTTATACATACATGATCGCGTGTGTCAACCCCGCGGAGTTCCATCTCAGCGAAACCGTGAACACGGTTCAGTATGCGCAAAGAGCCAGAGCGATCCAGAGCAAGCCACGCATCCAGCAGATTGCCGACGAAAGTGATAAGCACGCAGTTATCGAACGACTGAAGGCGGAGGTTGCTTTCTTGCGCCAGCAGCTCCGTAATGCGGAAGAGAACGGCCGTCGAAGCGCTGCCCCACAGGATCGAGCGGAGCGACAGAACGAGAGGGAGGTCGAGCTCCAGAACCAGCTTCTCGATACGCAAGAGAGTTACAACGCTCTCAGCCAGCGGCATGCGAAATTAATCTCGGAGATTGCTAGGGACTCCCAACATGCTGGCGAGACAGACCCCAATGATGTCGTCAGCTTGGTTGGGAAGACTTCTGTTGAGCGCCTGAAGCGATCACAGTCTTTTGCAGAGTCGATCGAGCAGGTCGTTCTGGAGTACGAAAAGACTATTCAGAGCCTTGAGTCGTCTCTTTCTAACACTAGGTCCTCCCTCTCAGTAACGGAGAGCACGCTTCTGGAACGCGAGACGAAGTGCGCATACGTTGAGACCGTCAACTCCCAATTACAGGCGCGGATCCAGAAGCTCCTTGATCGTGAGAACAGCACAGAAACTTATCTGCATGAGTTGGAAGGGCGGCTTGATGGGCAGTCCACGGGCGAAGAGAAGCAAGCGGCTATCGTGGCGGAACTTCGGAAGGAGCTCAGTCGGGCCCGCGAAAGTGAAGCCAACTGCGAAGACTATATTTCCACGCTTGAGGAGCGCTTAGCCGAAGCCGACCAAGACATGGAGCTCATGCAAAGGGAAATGGAGCGGCTGGAGCATGTCATTGAGCGCCAGCGCAGCCTGGGCAAACTGGATAACCTTTTGTATGAACTTGATCATATCCAGCAGAACGGCAACCAGAAGGATCTGTCCGAGGACGAGCTTGAGACTCATACTCCAGTTCCCGTCAAGGGCGCTTACAAACCTCGCACTCGAGCAACATCCCTCTCGCTTGATGTCCTGACCGAGGCTGTGGAGACCGCCATACCCGAATCAGACGAAGGCTTGACAGAGCCCACCCCAGAATCCGTGCGCGAAGCTTCCATGGAACCTGAGGCGACTGCTGAGACAGATGAGACCAACTTGAAGGTCCTAGAATCGGCTACTGACCGCCTGGAGGCCCAGGAAAACGGTGCCCGTGCGAGTCGAGCCTCTACTCCCACCCAAACCAAGGTCGTTGCGGACAAGCTGGAGACAGTCACCCAGGAGTTGTTTGACTTGCGTATGCAACACGAGTCTACTGTGAGTGAGTACGAGACGCTCGAGGCGAAGTATGCGGAAGCAATGAAAGCCCTGGCGGAGTTCCAACGGGACGCCGCTGATGAAGCTCGCCATCCCGACGAAAAGGTTCAAGAACTTCTCTCCACAAATGTTGAATCTCGCCCGGTGTCTTTTTTAGAGGAAGGCAAGGCCCCCGGCTCGAACGATGGAAAACAACCGTCGTCCTCGCCATCACTCTCTTCGGAGTTATCCTTGGCCGGGGAGCCTGCTTCTTCGCACGAGCAATCTACCTTGAGTAATGGTGAAGTCCCACAGGAAAACCACGTCGACACTCGAGAAATAGATGAAGCGAAGGCCCAAGAAGTGGAGCAGATGCGTCGCTTGCTCGTGGAGCATCAGGAGGGTGTTTCGATTATGACGCAGAAGTATGCCCAGTTGCAGTCGGAGCATGAAGGAACCCTCAGCCTCATTGAAACGCTGAAGGCCGAACTGCAGCGAAAGAATTCTTCACCGCCGACCACGCCAGGCTTCAAGTCCCCTGTAATTCGGAGAAAGACAAGCCAGAGTCTGATTGGTACTGTCGATCGGGCTCACCGCTCCCTTGCCGCCTTGCGTAATATTGCAGTTGAGGAATTCGAGGCCCGCCCTGATACGATGCAGAACTTCGAAGTCCACCTCGACTCGGCTATGCATGAACTACACAATCGCATGGAACGTATCCAGGCGCTGGAGGCCGAAAACCAGAGCGTCAAGAAGGAAATGGAGACCAAATCAACCATCATCTCCGGGCTCACTCGTGAGAGATCGAGCTTGCAGGGAGGCGGTGGGTCCTCGGTCGATATGGGCCTCGTCAATCAACTGCGTGATCAAGTGGTGCAGCAAGAGAATCTCATCAACGAGATGAAAGAATCACACGACACCAGAGAGAAGCAGCTTCTCGCCGAGATCGAAGAGTTGAAGAGCCTCCTGAAGACGCAGGAAGAAGCCGCTAAAGCCCAGGATGTGTGCGCTGAAGAGCAAGATAGGAAGATCACTTCTCTCGAAGGCGAGGTCACGGAATTGAAGAGCAAACACCAGAACGCCGTTGAATCGTTGCAATCGTCCGAACAGGAATTGAGCGCGACACTGGCAGAGCTCGACAAGGCTTTGGCGTCCATCGACGCGATGCGTTCCGAACAGGCGGCCGCCGGTGAAGCATCTGCCTCGAAGGATGCTGCCGCTAGAGAATTGGAGTTCGAGAGGGAGCAACAAGAAGAACTCGTCGCAAAATTGAAGCATGTCATTGACGAACACAAGGCCACCACTGATGCCCACCTTGAGAAGATCGCCTCCCTCGAAAAGTCTCACAGCGAAGCCCAGCTGCAGCTGTCAGAGCTTCGCACAGCAAAGGACCACGATAGCAGCGAGGTCCAAGTACATCAGTCTCGTGTGTCAGAGCTGGAGAAGGAGATTGACTCCCACAAGTCACTTGCTGACTCGTACAAGAGGGAACTGGAGTCCCTACAAGAGTCCCACAAGCAGGAGGTGGCGGAACTTGAAGCTCGGGTTACAGCGGCCGCGCAGGTTGACTATGAGTCGCGTTTCGCCACGATGAGCGCCGAGCATGAGGAGACAATGAAGACTTTGAAGTCTGAGATCCTCGAGTCGCGGGAAGAGTTGACGAAATTGCTCAATATGGTTTCGAAACTCCTCAACGCTGATGTTACTGCAGAGACCATGGCGGAGCAAATTCAAGAGATCATGGCTCAGAAGCAGCACTTCTCCGACAAGTACGCCGAGATGCTGGATACCAACGAGGATCTGCGTAAGCAACTTGAGACTAAGGGATCTGATGATGGCCGGCTGGAGGAGCTCATGCAGAGCAACTCCACGAAGGAAGCGAAGGTTAACGAGCTGGCTCTTCTGGTCGCCACCCTCGAGGATACTCTGCGCCAGAAGGAAGAGCAGGTCAAGAAGAAGGAGGCGATCATTGCCGAAGTCAAGGCCGAAAAGGAGAAGAGTGTCCGCTTGGTGGAGGAGCTGGAGGAACAGATCACCAATAGCTTCGACCAGCACCACAACCGTCTCTCCGTCATTCAACAGGAGCGTGACCAGGCTTTGGAAGATGCAAAGGTGAAGATTGCAGCCTATGAGAAAGATATTGAGACATACCGCCTACGGATCGAGCAGCTTGAGGTAAGTCTTTGGATATCGAGAACTACATATGGCAATGACTAACATTCATCTAGCTCCAAATCAAGAACCAAGACAGTTCTCACGACCGCAGCAGCTCGATCACGTCCAATCTCCGCAAGAGCTCATCTGCAACCTCTCTCCCTTCGCCGCCTCCCGCCATTCCCCTGCCTCCTCTACCGAACATTGCCTCGGCCACAAACGGCACTGGCAGTATCTCTCCCCCCAGCTCCCGTCATACTAGCAAGGAGCTGGTGAACCCACAGATCGTTGATGATCAGGAAGCTCGCATTCGCACCATCGAGAAGCACCTGAACGCCGAGAAGCAGCTCACCGCCACCTTGGAGGAAGCTCTGGGCGACCTTGAAGCGCAAAGCAACAAGGTCAAGTCGGATTGCGACGCTTGGAAGAAGAAGGCTCGGGAGCTGGAAGAAGAACTGACCACGCTCCGCAAGGAGCGCGCCTCCCAGCGCCTCTCACTGCAGGCCGTCGAGGAGGAACGCAACGCTCGCCGGGAGGCCGAAGCCGCCCGGGCGCAGCTCGAGGAGCGGATGAATGCGCTCAACAAGAAGAAAAAGAAGAGCACTCTCAACTGCTTCTAGATTTGATCGATCTACATTAGCGGATATCATTTGCTTTGCTTTCCCTTGCCTTGTCCTGCCCGCCTTTGTTTTTCACGTCCCTTTTGGCGCCACGATGTACAGTCTTCTCTGTATTATGAACTAACTCAACGTCGATTCCCCCTTCTTCGCCTCGTTGATACCTCCCCTTATCTTTCTTCTGTGTATTTTCCTTTCACGGCTTTTCTTCTTATTCGTGCACCTGACTGACCCCCTTCACTTCTGCTCCGCCTATTTTGATGAATCCTGACTTTATGACTTATAAGTATGGCCCGTGATTGTACATTTTCCGACTACCCTGACCATACATTGATACATGTGTTCTTTGAGAATGTTTTTGATTCCCAGTTGTCCAGCATGCGCAGCTAAAATAGCTGCTTCTGCTCTTTCTAGTTAGAATTGTCGTCGGTAGGAAGCTGTTAGTTGCCGGGGACGTAGGTTGATTTGCCTGATGCCAGTTTCTTCATTATTCATTCATAAGTCAAGACGGTGGCTCCATTTTTAGAAGAATCTAAAACTCATAGTGACAGATACAATTACAGAATAGCATAATACAAAAATCCCAGTACCCTGCTCAATAATATAACCATCTGAATATACACCCCTGTCTCCGAACGGCGATAAGAGAGATAGATAAGACCATCACATGACGCAATCTCCCAATCGGCCGCGTGTCTCTTTCCGTTTAGCAGGCTACCACCACCTCCGCAAACTAATTAAATCAACTACAAAAACCACCAGCTACGAAACCACCTACAACTCACTCAATTCGCACTCCGCAATGCCAATGTCCACATAAAAATATCCCCTCGACATAAATTTCCCTCTCACCACAAAACTTTAACGAAAAAAATACTATATAGTAAGAAAAGGGAACAACAAACAATGCCCCCCGCCAAAATCACCATCATCCACCCCGACCTCGGCATCGGCGGCGCAGAACGTCTGATCATTGACGTGGCTCTAGCATTACAATCGCGCGGCCACCCTGTTACAATTTACACCTCGCACCGGGATAAATCGCATTGTTTTGAGGAGGCGCGCGATGGGACGCTTGATGTGCAGGTGCGCGGGAATACGATCTTCCCGGCGCATGTGGGCGGACGGTTGTTTGTGCTTATGGCTATATTGAGACAGTTGCATTTGACGTGGGAGTTGTTGGTCGGGGAGGGCGCTACAAGTGGAGGAACTGAGGATGGTGAGGACGAGGTGTTTATTGTGGATCAGATGCCGGCCTGTGTGCCGTTTTTGAAGGTGTTTGGGGGGAAGAAGAATAGCAGGACGAAGCAGAGGATTTTGTTCTATTGTCATTTTCCGGATCAGTTGCTTGCGAGGAGGGATGAGGGGGGTTCTGTGTTGCAGGTGCTTAAGGGGTTGTATCGCGTGCCGTTTGATTGGTTTGAGGGATGGGCTGTGAGTGCGTCGGATAAGGTGGTTGCGAATTCGAGGTTTACGAGGGGGGTGGTTAGTGGGGTGTTTGGGAGGGAGAAGGTTGGGGAGTTGAGTGTTGTTTATCCGTGTGTTGATACTAAGGCTGGGGATGGGGGTGAGGGGTGGTGAAGGAGGGGGAGCAGTTGTGGGGTGGGAAGAAGATCTTCCTTAGTGTTAATCGGTTTGAGAGGAAGAAGGACCTGGCGCTGGCGATTCGGGCCTATCATGGCCTTGGGGCGGAGAAGAGGAAGGGGACGAGGTTGGTTGTTGCTGGTGAGTATTGCCCTTTTCTGACTGACGGTTGAGGATGCGCTCGTTGTTTGCTGGTTGAGAGGAGTGCGCTAACTGGTTGTGTGCGTGGTGCAGGTGGTTACGACAATCGCGTCCAGGAGAACGTGCAGTATCATCGAGAGCTGGATGAGTTGGCGACTGGGTTGGGCTTGCAGACGGCGACATCTAAGACGGTTATTTCGGCGCTTTCGATCCCCGATTCTATCGATGTCCTGTTCCTGTTGTCCGTGCCGACGGCGTTCCGTGATACCCTTTTGCTGCAGGCGAAGTTGCTCCTGTATACGCCAATCAACGAACACTTCGGGATTGTGCCGGTCGAGGCGATGCGGGCTGGCGTGCCGGTGCTTGCCTCGAATACTGGAGGGCCGTTGGAGACCATTGTGGAGGGCGAAACGGGCTGGCTCCGTGACGCCAAGGTGGATGCCGATTGGACTGCGGTGATGGACAAGGTGCTCTATGGCATGAAGCAGGAGGAGCTGGACAGGATGTCTGTGGCTGCGAAGGAGCGTGTCGAGAAGGAGTTCTCACTGACGGCTATGGGCGAGAAACTCGAGCAGGAAATCGAGGAGATGCTCGGCCAGGAGCAGCGGCCGTTCCATGGCTTCCAACAGGTTCTTGCCCTGCTTGCATTGGTGGGAGTGGTGCTTGCCCTCGTTGCTGCATTTCTGGTGAAGCTGCTTTGATTGCTTGTCAAAATAATACCCTTAACTTGCGTGTACAATATTCAATTCGATGCTTAGTTCATCCATTCTGATATCCAGTAGATATTGAATGGCTTCACGTGACACCGCGCCACCGACGTGTTCCCCGCGACACGTGCCGTCATCTCCAACTTGGCAGTTGTTCTTCATCCCCGCCATTGCCATCTCAAAGTTGGGCTTTTTGGTGTTTTGGGCAAGATGCCAGAGGTCATCGACCTCCTCTCCTCCACTCCTCCGCCCCCGATAGAAAGACGCGAGCAGCTGTCTATCCGCAGGGCTCATTCGCACCCGCCTGTCGTGCCCGCCTCGGACTCCATCTTTTCCGACGAAATCGATCTCTCCGCATTTACCTACGATAACCCCATTGAGCAGCCCGCCAAACGACGACGCTTAAGCCATGAGATCACCCCCGTTAAAGAAGTACCGCTGCCCCCAGCAAAGAACTCGCTCTTCCTCTTCTCCGATGACGACATAATCTTATCCTCGGACGGTCCCGCCCCTGCGAAACCTTCGGTCTGGAATGGAGAATCCGATCCGATCGTTTTTACCTCGTCGGCGCCTGAAACCAGACATAATCTACCAGTCAGACCAGCCATATCATCGCGTGATATTAACCCTATTTCGATTGACGATGAAGATGACAATATTCCCAACGTCACCCGGAACAACCGACTACGGAGGGAGGAAATCCAAGTGTCCAGCGACCAACTTGATTTCCCAGACGTCGACGATCTACTTGACGTAGCTCAGCGAGTGGAAGCAAATGCATTCTCAAGTCGGACAGCGAATCTACTAGCGACTCTGGAAGATCGTTCTCGCGGCAGCAATGACGAATCGGTGTCCCGATCGACAAGGGGCCGCAAGCACCTGGATCAGAGCGATGACATAGAGGTCGAAGAGATGCCACCACCGCGGAGGCCCCAGCGCAAAACCACCAAGGTTGCAAATGAGGAGAAGGAGGCTAAAGCCAGAGAGCGCGAGGTGGCCAAGGCGCAAAGAGAGCGAGATAAACAACTCGAAAAGGAGCGCAAGCAGAAAGCCAAGGAGGATAAAGCCCGCGAAAAGCAACTAGCAGCGGACATTGCTGAGGTCAACAAACTCAAGGTGGACAAGAAGGATTCTACGCATGAGATGCTAATTGACCTCGCCTCTACATTTACCGACACAAGTCTCGGAAACCAAACATCAGAGCTCATGCGTCTTCTCAAAGTTGATCTCACGTTTTTTCCCAGTGCCCTTCCAAATATCGTCAAGTGGCGTCGCAAGGTCCGAGCTACATACAATGACTCCCTGGGACACTGGGAACCGTGTGCACTTCACATCCGTGAGGAAGAGGAGCATGTGTTGTGCTTAATAGCGGCCCAGGACTTTATCGATATGATCGCGCCTCCTCCATCAAGCGAACCAAGAAACACTGTCGGCGAACACGTTCAACGCTTGAAAACTGCCTACCCAAAGTCTCGGCCGATCTATTTGATTGAAGGTCTGACGAGTCTGATGCGAAAAAATAACAATGCGCAAAACAGAGCCTACCAAGCTGCTGTGCGACGACAGTTTGAAGACACCTCTGCTCGCCCGTCAGGTCGGAGAAAACAACAGCAAACCGAAACTATCACACCCATAGACAGCGATACGGTCGAAGACGCTCTGCTCGATCTACAGGTGACCCACTCGTGTCTAATCCATCACACAAGCTCCCCCGCAGAATCCGCAGAATGGATCAAGAACTTTACCGAGTATATTTCCACTGTACCTTATCGCCGTGAGCGGATGGACCTAAATGACTCCGCATTCTGTATGGATGTGGGACAAGTCAAGCCCGGCGAGAACCGGTCTGACGCATTCATCAAGATGCTCCAGGAGGTGAACCGAGTCACAGCGTCAATGGCATACGGCATCGCGACACAATATCCAAGTGCGATGGACTTGGTAAATGCAATGAGGAAACATGGACCGGGACTGCTGGAAAATGTCAAGGTATGATAATTCTGTTTCCACCTCATTCGGTTCCCTTTTCAAGTACATACATACTGACGGTTATACCTTCAGAAATCGGCAAACAAAAATGGCGCCCTCACCGACTCGCGCATCGGACCGGCCGTGAGTAGACGATTGTATAAAGTATTCATGGGAATTGATCCGACGTCGACTGATATATGAGCATATCCTTTGATCGGCGAACATTGTCCGTCTCTTTTATCGGAGTTATACTTGCAGCGGTATTGGTGCATATATTCTGGGTTCCGTTTTTGGCACGATAGATACGACTTCTACTGGTATACTCACTACCTTTTATTATCACGAATCGGCATTATATTGCCCCCCAACATCATTATTGGTATCGGTCTATCTTGCTATCCTTATATCTTATCGTCTCTTGTATTTGGAAGTCTGGAAGACAGCTTGTATAGATACTACAACCCTTACACCAAGTGAGTGTTGGAACAGAAATTTCTTCCATCCGACAGCGTCTGGTTGGCATCATCCTAGATAGATGCATCGCTAGAAATTGAGTCAGGTGAAATAACATCCGCCATCAAGCTACTAAGTACAGATTTTTCTGCATTCAGAATTCCACTATGACATGAATCGGCATTAAGATTCCAGCAACCTCTAGACACGTGCCTTCCTCATTCCACCCGTAACACCCAACCCCTATGTACTTTTATCACTTAAAGTAAGTGGGAAAACAGGGTCTACGCAGTGTGAGACTTTAGTTACTAGAATCCTAGAAACATCTACACCTACAGGTCACTAAATCCCTCACTATGGACAGTAGCTTCAAACCGCACAATCTAAATTGATTAATAACAAAGGCTAATTTAACACGCCATTAAAAAAGAAAAAGGCTAACTTTAGAACATGCTGTACAGTAATTGTGATAGTGCTTTTATTTTTATCTGGTTCAGGCTTACATCAAAATATCAGGGTTTGCTTGCCCTGATATATCCCCCCCCGTGATGAGATTGTTGTAATTCCGGGGAAGGAGGTTCTGGTAAACTGAATGAAGGCAGAGAAGTAGTTTTCAACGCATGACAAAAACGGTATAAAATCCGTGTATCATAAACCAAGGCTCATTTGCGGGGTGTTGAAACAAGTAAGAACCAGCGAGAAGTACGTCAGTTAGTAAGTAGGCAATCTACAAAGCCCGCAGATTGATCGCGGAACTTCGCTTAGATACTGTCTTGTGCGTTTCCAGCCCCATTAGCTGGCGGACCGCCGTCTGTGCTGACCGCACACTGTAATCCATCGTCACGGCCACCTCTCCCGGGATGTCCACGAATTGGCCAATGAGTCCGAGATTGTCGATCCCCGGGGGTATCACTTGTGGTCGATCGCCGCGCAAGCGGGGCAACAGTGTTGCCGCTGCTCGTGGAACCACGCAGGGTAGGGTAATCGAGTGGTCTAGGATACCCTGCACAGGGAAATTCAGTTGTTTTAATATCTCTTCCATGACTTCTTGTCCCGAGCATTCGAGCATGGGTTTCTTGACGTAGTCGCCCTCCCGCTCGGGGTACATTGCGTAGCCCCAGAGCACCTGCACGTGCGCAGGTTGATCGGGGAGTAGAGGCTGCTGGGGGAGATTGATGCTAAGAAGCCAGGGAGTGTCTTTGAGGGTGACGAAAGTGCCGCTTCCTACTTTATCGCCGGTGAGGGCGGTAAAACGGTTGAAGAACTCGGGGGAGGAAAAGGTGACGGTGAAGGATTCGAGGCGGGACTCTCCCATGCGTGTGCAGAAGTTGTATGCATTCCCGAAGATAGGGTTTTTAGTGGACAGCTCTAGCCACAGAAGCCAGTTCTCGTCTAAGTCTTTCTCGATCTCCATTAGTTCCAGGGATGGTGGGGACGTATTGGTGCCCGTTGTGGAGCCGGACATAACCGAGCCTAGTGACACCAGCACGATGTCCCGCGGCCCTAGGTTTATCGTCTGCTCGGGCTCGTTTTCATGTGTGGCTTTGATGGCTGATACCCGGTGCGGATCGCTGCTTGAAGGGGTAGTGATGATATCAGTGACTGTCGTGTGGAAGCGGAAGTCTACGCCCCGGGACCGCAGAAATTGAGCGACCGGTGCGACGATAGACTCGTGCCGGTTGAAACGGCCACCATCTAGCTTTCGGCGACGGTGGATCTCGTGGATGCTGTGCATGTAGTGTTGAAGGTAGCGCCGGAACTCGGCTGCACTATGGACAGGCTTTATACCAAAGCTAGGAGGTTGTTAGGTATGGCAAATAATTGATACAAAGGTCCGACTCACGTCGTGGAAAGTAGCATCCAGTAGCAGCTTTTGAAGAAGCTATTGCTGAAATGATCGCAGATGCGCGAGCGGCCCAGGGACTTGTCCGATTTTGAAACCAGCATGAACAGGTCCACGCGGTCGCGCAGTCCTAAACTCGCGCGTTTGGCGTCAATGCGTTCAAGACTATGTTTATGACGGGCGAGGAAGCGAGTATGAGGACGATCTTTGATGGCTTCGGTGGCCCAGAACTCGTCAAGGTCGTCGAGAACAGACTGGTTTGGCTTTGTCCTAGAGGGTACCAGGGAGAGAAGTTCTTCCATGCAGGCGTCGTTGAATGGAGGCATCCCTCCTGCCCGGCAATCATATCCATTGATGGGGTCGCCCGTACTGATAGTCCCGCCGCCAGCTTGACTGAGGGTTTCAAGGATGTGAACACGAGATGGAGGCACATGCGCTTCCTGAATGAGGTGTACAGCTGCAGTCAGAGAAGAAATGCCGGCCCCTAGAATCCACGCATCCATCCCCTCTGGCGACCGGCGCTCAGGCGGAGGAGTTGGCGGTGCCGAAATGGAAGACATGACGGACAATGGTTGTCACTGCTTAAACGAGACAGCCACGAGGACAGCCAACCGGTATATAAAGCGACGCCCACGGCGTTCTGGACTTCACGGGTGTGGCGGGAAGGTTTCTGATGTCAAGGCTCGCCGACATCCTAACACTCTGGGAGAACCATGGTTTGCAACGGTTAGACCCACGCTGATGACACAATGATTTGCTTGCACAAGATAGGCAGTGT